ATAAACTGCAATTATTTCTGTGAATTATTTATCATTGTGACATCATCACCACTGCACAAGGAAACGTGACCTCTGCTTTTAACCCATCACCAGCTTTAGGCGCCCGGGGAGCAGTGTGTGGGCACGGTGCCATGCTCAGAGCACCTCAGTGGTAACTTGGCAGCTGGTGGCCTCGAACCTGAAGCCTTCTAGACCTGTCTGCTTCCTTAAACACTAAGCCACCGCTGCCCCATAATATTTATTTAATTAAGCTTATGAAACAGAAAAATAATGTGACAATTTAACAATAAAATAAAATAAAAAAACAAACCCCTCACCAACTAGCTTTGGTAAGTTTTTGGATCCCGACTGTGTTTCACAGCACCCCCCGCCTAGTAGGAGAAAGAGGAAGAGCTTACTTTTTCCTTGAACAGAAAAGAAAACGTTCTTGTAAAGTTCCAAATTTTAGATATAATCCGTTGAAGTTCAACCTTTTAGAAGACGATGCAATACATCCAGTGTGACTCTCCAACAGTTGATGATGAGTAACCAATCAGAAACTAGCCAGTATTTCAACAGTTCTAGTAAAGACACTGAGATGTTGTTACAGCATGACATTTTAAAGTACTGCAGCGGAGTACTCTCTTTTGTACACTGTGACAGAACACTAACAGCTTGATACAACTTTTTCATGTTCAATACAGATACTGCATCTACCGATACCGATATCAATCTGATACTTTTTCTCCTCCAGCATCACGATGCTGAGGTGATAGTGTCCCTGTTTATGACAAGTTGTACAAAGTGAATTTAAGAATTTTTTCAATATCCGATACAGACATTTAGACCAAGACAGACATACCGTTTCTGTCTGACGCACTCTTGAAGCGTTACATCAGTGCATAACATTGTGAAGCTAATCAATAATGGTCTGTCAGCATAACAACTAAAGCAGAACAAAATCTCTAATCAACATGAAATCTTCAGGAACAGATAGCTGGTGGATCACTCTCTCACAGCAGAGCCTGGTATGATGAAAACAGTAAAAACTGATTCATGAAATTTAAAACTTGCTAAAAGCACTAAGATAGTTTAGATGAATGCTTTAATAATTTAAAACTGTGCACACCAAAATGAACCGTTCTACAAAAAGAAATATAGCAGTGACTTTTATTACAAAAATCACTGATGCGGTTTCTCCTTTAAAGTCTTGATTCTTAGGGTGTCACAAAGATGTAAAAAACATATTAATAAAAAAAATAAAAGGCGCATTGCTTGTATTGAGGGGTCACCAATAAATTCACCAATTAACACTATGTCCCAGGGGTTGCTTGTTCAGTTAAACGATGAATGTAACTTGTTAAAATTGTAATAAATTCTTTTTACATATACTTTCTTCACTTAAATCTTAACTCCGTATGCTGTCCTTAGTTCAGTAACACAACAGCAGACTTGGGCAACATGTTTTCAGAAATAAAAACACCCACCATGGTCAATATAATCAATAAAATCAATATACATCAGATTAAAATATATAAAGAATGGCAGTGAGAGCAGATGAAGGTGAACCTCCTGTCTTGTCAAGAATCCTCCTCGTCATCTCCGGTGGGAGTTGGCGTGTTGTGCAGAAATGCTTCCTTTTCTGGGGCCATGGGCCCCCCCACGACGGTGTACATTGGTGTAAAGGTGTCAGACTTGTTCAACGCTGCCTCCACACTGTTCCTGATGCCATAGCCGAAGTAGATAATGAAACCTACAGAGAATGTGGGAATATTAAATATGAAAAAAGACACACACAGATATACTGGGTGTATATATGTGTATATATATATTTCCCCAAAATGTTTCTGTAGTACAGAACATTACAGTACCTAAAATCATCCAGATGCCAAAACGCAGCCAGGTACCTTTGTCGAGCTGCATCATCAGGTACACGTTAGTAAACATACTTATGACAGGGAGAAGGGGCAGGAGTGGAACCTGTGAGGAGAACAGGGAGTTATTTCATATTAGGTGAAAGCATTATTTTCGTGTTAAAAAATCATTTTCAAGTTCAAATACAAAAACAATCAAACAAGTTTAATGTATTGATATTTACAGCACATTTGAGAGAGAGAGAAGCTGTATTAGATTTGCAACAGCAAATCCTAGAACTCTCAACAAAATCCATATACAGTGTATACTTGATGACTGTTGTTTACTGTGAGGTGCTTGCTCTTTATTTTCTAATAGAAGTAAATACTGCTTCAGTGAAGGTGGGAAGATCTCAACCTTACTGCAGTTGAGGTTCAACATGGGTTCAACATTTGTTGTAAAACTGTAGAGACCCTCACCTTAAAGGCCAGCTTGGCCTTGCTTTGTGGCTGCCTGAACACAATAAAGCAGAGGAGCAGACATATGGCAGCGAGGAGGGTCAGGACAGTGACTGACCAGGAAGCCAATCCTCCATGAACCGTCACAACACTAAAGACCAAGACCAAGGTACCTGGAAGTTAAGTTAAAAAAACAAAACATGAGTTTAGAGAGGTGACTAGAGGTCAATCTGTCCTGGTGAATATGGACTGCGTGTACTGAGGTGTTTACCAATTAAACTGGTGCATATGTTGACAACAAGTCCCGACAGAGGGGTGGGCTCTGTGTTTGAAGGGAAAAGGAGGTTCCTGATGGTGAAGCTGTCATCGGGCTGCGGCAACATGTCGACATTCACCTCGTTAAAGCACTCAGCGTTCTCAATCTCATCCCGAGTGTTGGCCATCTGATAGGCCAGACTGGGCTGCTCAGGCTGGTACCTGGAGAACAGTGGTCAAACAAAGACACGCATCACATAGGTGAAGATCATCGGTACTTTACTATGACATATGAATATGATGTAAACATAGACATAGTACAACTAAGACTTTTGAGTCAAGTTATTATAAATATTGGTGCAAGAATGAAACACTAAAATGTTACGTTTTGTTTACCTTCAGTTATGGATACATAAAAAGTACCGCTTACTTTCAGTTATGGATACATAAAAAGTACCGTAGATACAGAAAATTATATTTATTTGAAAGTGGTACTGCAACTTGACTTCTCAGAGGTCGAGGCAGAATTTAAATATTATTTGACCAACCGTATCGCAGATTACTACACTTCATGTAGAAAGATAATTTAAAGAAATGCAAATGTAGCACGATCTAATGTATGGTATGATTGAGATAATGTGCATGACCAGAGGTGAACCTGCCCTCCAATCTTCTTATTTGAGACCCTCTATCACACATAGGTCTTGAAGCTCTAATATTGAGATAAGAATAGAACATTATTTTGCAATAAAGTTTCTATGATTCTTTCTTTGAAGGCAGTTTTAGATATCAGTGAGACAGCTTAGATCCAACTATTCAGGCTGGTTTAATCCTACAGATGGCTGCCAACTCCTGTCTGGGTGAAGAGTCTGAAGACAAGAAATACCTGAGAACCAGCACACAGGCAGCAACCAGAGTATAGGCCAGCAGGGTGCCAATGGACATGAGGTCAACCAGATCCTTCAGGTCAAACAGGAAAGCCATCACAGCTGCAGGAAAATGAGTCAAAGAGTTAATGACTGTTAGTTTGTTAGACAAATAATCAATAATGTTACTGGAGATCTATATTTTTCTTTTCCATGATATTTGTAATGCCAACCTCCTCCCACAAGAGGGCACTGTTGTATTTAGCTATTCACCTACCACAAATGCAACTACAGCGAAGTCAACAGAAATGACACATGGGGATTCTTTACTAGACATTTCAGGCGACTCCCGTAGAATTCCAGGTGAACACACATGGGGTCAGGAGCCCAAGGTTGTTTAAGGCTGAGAGCCCTCCCCCACAGCAGCTCTTTAACAGACGCCCCCACCCCAACAGTTAGTTGTGCTGGGATGACACCTCACCTGCCACGATCCCTGATACTATTGTAGCTGTAAGGGGAGTTTTGGTTCGTTCGCTGGTTTTAGCTAAACATTTGAAGAGCAGCCCGTCTTCTGCCATAGCCCAGATCACACGGGGCATTGGGAACATGGAACCCAGTAAACTAGTGAAGAAAAGAGAGGCAAGGAAAAATACTTTGCACGTAAATGCACATAAGGTGTGTAATTTTGACAAATTTACAAATTGAACAAAACCATTTGATTATTAAGATGAAGCCCAGAATGTTGCAGTACCCCAGCAAACATCAACGGAACCCGCTGCGGAACAATCTCCACGTGAAT